CCCCAAAACCCCAAAACCCCAAAACCCCAAAACCCCATAAAAATTCAGCCTTATTGATAATTATATATTGATTAAAAGACATGGAAATGAACACTTTTGGACAAGAGACCCCTGTGGTTGACTGAATCGAGGAGCTCTCTGAAAATGAGAGCGGTCCTAGCCTGCTAAAGCAGCCCCAAGAAGACAATTCTGACCACCAGACCTCGTCTCTCATCAGAATAATGACTGATAAGGTAGTCTGTGTGGTTAATGAAAACGACTCATGAAAGCCTAATAAGAAAATTGAAAGGAACCATTTTCAAGGTAATTTCAGTTGGTTTTCCGTCCAAAATCTAAATTTTACCTAAAAATCTAAGCTATGACAACAATAATAAAAGCTTTAAGCTTCTTAAGAGATAGTAACCAAATTTAGCACCAAAATTTACCTAATTTGAATTATTTTGAAATCATCTAATATAGGAAGTGACATTGACTCAGTTCAGTCCAAAGAAAGAACCACAACTTTGTCAGCCGAGAAATTAGATGCCAAGCATCTTGAAGTGCTAACTAGAGCTGCTAATACTGATCGTAGGATAATTGAGTCGAAGGATGCCCTCAAGTTTACACTTAATATAAACGATATCCCGGCTGAAGTTCTAGATGAGTCAATAAAACCAGTGGCAAAACTAGGATCAGAAGTTCCTGCTCAATATCTAAGCCGGGAATTTGGAGAGAATTTACTTAAAAATCTGCAGAATTTCAACTCAGTTCTTGACACAAAGCATAAGGACATCGCCAGGATCAGAGAGCACTTAGTCACTCTTGAAAACAACATCAATAGACAAGTGGATGAGTTCTTGAAAGATATGGTGAGCACCAACATGAGTTTGGAGAAGATGCTCCTAGATCCATGCCAAGAGAATCAGTCTGAGACCCTAATCGACAACCTGTGTCTCAAACTATACAAGAATTACTTGTTCGAGAGCAACCACAAGATCAACCTGACTTTCTACAGAGAACTTAAGGTTATCAAAGACTATATTTTAGGATTAGATATGGGCCAAAGAAATCATCAAATCCAGAGAATACCTCAAGCTCTAGGTGTGAGTACTCTACAAGAGCTTCTGAATGACTTTAGGCCATCAGGAGAGCGTCCTAAGGCTGACTTGGTAGACAAACTTGAGAGTCGTTCCCACTCGAAGTATCTTGATAGCTCAAATTCCCAAGCTAAAGAGAATAATTCTAAAATAAATTTAAGTTTTGAAGATGAACAATTCACTCAGAGTCTACAAAAGAAATTTAGGAGTCCAATGAAGCTAAATACAAGAAAGAGAATACAAAGAGAAAGGCTACACTCAACTTCAGTTTTCGAGAGAAGACTCAGACCTCAGCCTCTTGACTTCCAGCTTGGTATGAGAAGGGAATGTAAATTTAAGGAATCTGAGAGCCAAAATCTTGACTCAGCAAATAATTTTCCGATACTGAACCTAAATGACTCTCCAGCCCTCCAGCCTTCACTTCCTTTTGCTGCTGATATAAAGATAGATCCAGGAACTATAACACAGATGCTGATACAGAGACTTTCTAAAAACAATGAGCTTGTGCATCTTAATGATCTCTGTCGTATCTTACCAGATACTGACTTGAAGAAATCGAGATCTTACTCACAACAGATTTAGGAGCCTAGGCGAAGATTATGCCAAATCTTAGCTTTCTCACACTTCTGGAATAGACATGACAGCTCAGATGGGTGGAAAGAAGCACAATGCTATCAAATTTTGCATAAGATTTGTGCCATATTTTCAATGTGATATCCCTAATTTGGGGTTTTGGGGTTTTGGGGTTTTGGGGTTTTGGGG